TTTTTATAATAACACTTTTCAGGAAATTTGGCATATAGTGCATGAAATAGATAAATAAGGACAATGTGAGCAGACGTTTTCATGCCGAACTACGTCCCTTGGCTGCTACTTTTTGGTGATTTGTTGTGAATCCCAAAGAAGTTTATTGCTTCAAAGTCCTTGAATAACTATTCCCATGATTTCATATAAAACAAACACTACAGAAAACAATGGTTAAATGTGATAAGACAAAACTGACTCTTTTTAACTGGACATGAACTTTTCTTAAACTTTGTGTGAACCACAATGTTATCCTAAAGTACTATGTGTGCTTCACTTCCAGCAAATAATTTTATGGAAATATAGATTTTCACAGTTGAAAGGATCTTCTGATGATGGCAAAGCCAAAGTGAAGCTTCATTTTCAGAATTCCTCAGTGAATCTGATAGAAACACAGGTGAGTTGTAAAAATGACAGAACTGCACATGTATGTATACTAGTGTTCTATTATTGTTTTTCTGTTCTTTGCTGTGTCTGTTTTTCTTGTTCTCATTGCAAGTGCATTTGCAAACCAGTCTCTTAAATCTAATACCACTTGTTTGGATACCGCGTGTACTCAGATTTGTACTGCTGAGATCTAACACACAACTTCTCTGATGTACTGTACTATAACCCAAATCTAGTATGTCAGTCTGCATGTATAAGGCCGTAACCGCAATGTGTATTGGTTTTTTTTACAGGAGTTGGAATGTCCAAACCTCACCAAGTTACTCTACTGTATGCATGGCTTCTTGTCCTCCAAACTCGCTGCTGTTGATCCAGTATTTATGAAGAATGCTGCACAGCTCGAAGTTCCCACAGAAAACTGTTTTGTTTGACGGTCAGGTGGTATTACAAGCAATACATGCATTGTATATGTACTTTTCTCTTCCGATTGATAGAATATGCAACTTCCTGCATCATGTGATCAAATGGTCGAACTTGATTGGTCAAGTGGTGTCACCTGATTGTGTGTGGTGATGTGATTGATCTAGTCTATGAATATGCAAAATTATGCATAGTATTTCAAGAGACTGACCAATTGTGTATATGGCAACAATACGGTTATGAAGTACATTTCTATGGAGTGCTTCCTTTATAAACCAGTACTGCTTTCAGTTATCTCATTGATCTTTTCTATAAATCTTGCAGCAATCTATTTTATTGTTTGTATTTTAATATTACATTTTAAGTCTATGCTAACCAAGGTTTATTTATATTATTTTTATCATATTTTGGAAAAAAATTTTTGAGGGGGAGGGGGGTTTACACTATACCTATGAAACTGCCAAACTTGATATATAGTAGTAATTTATTTTCCTGCAGAACTGGATGTAAAA